CACGGTATATAAAAAATAAAACTCGGATGCGGTTCATCCGAGTGCCATGAAACTTTAGGGAGTAGATGAGAATACCCCCGAGAATATTTCTGCGAAAAAGAAAACTTAAGTTTCTTACGGGTGGCGCCATATAGGGTACAACTTTTGTCAATACACGGTTTGGTGCCCAGAGTTTTAGAGCGACTAAGTTGGCACTTGGCATCCGTTAATCGAGCGTCCTGCATACCGAGTAAGGGGTACTACTATATTCAGCGGTAAAACTACAACAGGCTTCTAAAAATAACTTTGTAACGCGAGGAAATCCTTCTGTACAGTTTCGTCACCTTGCGAAAGATAAAAAAATAACTTTTTGAATATGAGGAGCCTACTGTAGAGTTTCGTCACTTTGCGAATGATGCAATAAGCATCTATTATTAGACAATCCAGTCAGAAATTGAGATCGAGCATCTAATAATAGACCATTAGTAACGCTAGCATATTGCATCAGTCAAAACACGTCAAATAATTTTTTTAAGTGTTAAAGAAAAAAATCCTGTTCATTTGTGTCACTTTAGCGAATGACGCATTCTGCGTCATTGTTAACAGGATGCTATTTGGCACGATGGCGCCAGTTAGTTTAAGGAGCCAGGGGCCGTACGTGGCGCCTATGCGGTAGTGTAATCGACGGGGGTGCTCCTGAGAGCGCCCCTCTACGTCCCTGACACATGGGTGGTAACTGAAGTGTGTTCTACCTGATTATTTCGGTGAGTGATTATTGTACACATAAGGTTTTCACGCGGTAGTGTAGGTAAACCCGTGTCCCGGTGTTTATGATCCAAGCGCAGGCATTGTTTACATTTAAATAACTCACTTTTAGAAAACAAAGTTACCCGTCTAAGAATATAGGATTGGTAACGTATGGATGAAACCCTTCTTCTATCCCCGCGGCAACGCACGGGGGTCGGGTATACTAGTTATATTATAAAATTCCTGGCTTTTTCCTGGATTGCTGGCTCAGTGGGAACCCTGTATTCAAAGTATTGGTATCTTAGAAACTAGAAAAACAGTAAAATACCATATCCTATTTTGGAGATCCCAAAAACATTAAAAGAACCCTGAGCATAAGATCTTATTTTGTCTTCCTCTGAAAGTTATGAAGTTAATATATTCACACAGATATAGATCTAGAGTAAAGTACTAATTGCAAAATAGCTCTAAATGTGAAAGAAACCTGTGTATACAATCTAATAATTACGTGAAATTTTGTCCAGCAAACTGAAACTATATACAAATCAGAGGCGTAGCGAGGGCAGTTGACACCATTTAAGGGGGTGACACCATGGCGAAAAATTGCAAAATGTACAGAAGAATAATGCTTTTTGCCAGTTGCATGAATGATTAATTATGGGGCATATATTTAAATTATAAGCCTATGTAGGCAGACACACACACTCATATATAAATATATATATAAATATATATATATATATATATATATATATATATTTCTTGGGGGGGGGGGGGTGTGACACCATGAAGTGCCGCACTGGGTGACGTCACTGATACAAATTATTGGTTTTTTAGAACGTGGAAATTAAGTAAAGCGTGCGATTACTGAAAAATTGCTTAAAAGTTGATAGAAAACTACCAATCTATAATAATAGTTTTGCTGTGTGTGTATCTATCTGTCTATCTATCTGTCTGTCAAGAACGCTATAGAGAAAACACAAGCAGAGTAAAAACATGCATAGTAATTCGAAAAACAAAACGTGACGTCACATGGAGCATATAGTAAGAAATAGTCTCAAGCCGGAGAGTGCACACAGTAATAGGATGTCATTGATTCTCGAGTAAACATTAAATTTAAAAAGCCAATTTTGTCTAATCTTAAAAGTGGTGTGCATGCAGAGTTTCTTTCATGCAATTATTCGGGTAGGGGCTAAGCCCCCCCCCCCCCCCCCCTCAAAAGGAATGCCGTCATTGATACTATATAATAAAAAGACTGACATTACGGCCTAATTCATGTGTCTAATCTTAAAAGTAGTTTGTGTGCACAGTTTCTATCATTTATCTCTTGGGGTAGGGGCAAAACCCTTCTCCCCCTCCCACAGTAGCACGACTAATCCCTCCCCCCCTCCCCTCAGAAAAATGAAATATAAACGGAATTTATTCACCCCTGCAAAATTTCAAGTGCCCCACCGCCGGAGAAAAAAGCCTAAAACGAACAGTCTGCGTGAATGAAAGTTATCTGCCAAAAGTAGGAAACAGGTCTATCTTATAGAAGTACTCCACCCCACCCCACCCCACCCCACCGCTGGATAGTGCGTGAAGAACCGATGAGCCATAGATTACCAATGTTCATTCAACCGCGAATAACACATCTGTGTAGATAGGGTCAAGTACAGGGCCTAAGTGAATGCTTCTCAGCTATCCTATCTAGTATTTACATTCGTTGCTACCATACCCTATACGGAGAGATGGGCATACACATTAACACATGTGTCGTATACAGTCCGGTGTAAAGCCTGATGAACGCGTTCAAGCCTATCACAGCATGCCGTAACTAGATTATAAACCGGCCGTTGGTTGAATGGCGAGAAGGGAATGAAGGGGGTAAAGGGGATGGACAGTACATTCTTCAAACTGATAGTCATGTCCATGACGCATTGTTTCAGCTTAGTATAAAGCGTACGAAACAGTGTTTAATATTGTTCCAGTGATAATCAACAGTGCATTTCTAGGCCACGTTTCAATTTCTAAACTTAATGTTGATGTATAACTTTAAAACAACAAATAGAAGAGTCTACGCAAATGAGGTAAACAAACGAGACAGGCGATTGTTTTGTTTATCTAGAAACAAGATGGCTGCCTAGCACACGTGGTTAGTTGCAGCCTATCGTGAATTTTTTTGATTTACTGTACTATAATATGATTGGTCAAGCGTATCAATGAATCTCTTCCCCTTCATAATTTTTACGCGCATGCCCTTATATGGAGTTTGATATAAAATTTTACATTGTAGAAAACAACTTCTATCTCACTTATTTTTAGAACAAAAGAAAAGGTCACTACACCAGCGGGTACACGAGTGCTTGGCCCTTAGATTGCGGTAAAGTTTATGGTGCCCCGCGGGCCATAAATACATGTAATACCCGCTCGAAGATAGCCGCTGTCCGCGTAGTAGTGTGAAAACTTGTCGGGGGGTACCATGTTTCATATCGCAATAAACGGATAACCGTAAGCTGTAGAAGTCCGAGATGTTCGGGTTAGAGAGATAAAAGGTATTAGTATCGAATTAAGAAATAAAAATTTTGGGGAGCAAAATTACAATTTTATCGAAAACATGGGTATCTTGTTCCCTTAAGGGTATGTGTGTGGGGTGGGGGGTTTAGGGATATGACTTTGACTATGTTTAGTATCAATATGCAGTAACTACGCGAAGATCAAGCTTAATTCCAGTTAAAGTGCCGATTCTGGTCAGAAATCCGTTTTCAATGACATTTTTCGTTTCCGGTTAAATTTGAAGTTGAGGTGGTGATTTTGTTTTTGGTTTCAATTTAGAGAAAAAGACAACACTATCAACCTAGTCCCCATTGTATCCTTCCTCAACGGGCCATTTTTCTCGTCTATAATAATAGTTTCGCTGTCTGTGTATGTATCTATCTGTGTATCTATGTTTCTGTCAAGAACGCTTTTATTTATAGAGAAAACACAAGCAGAGTAAAAACTTTCATAGTAATTCGAAAAACGAAACGTGACGTCACATGGAGCATATAGTAAGAAATAGTCTCAAGCCGGAGAGTGCACACAGTAATATGACGTCATTGAAACTCAAGTAAACAATGAATTAAAATGCCAATTTTGTCTTATCTTAAAAGTTGTTTGTTCGAAGAGTTTTTCATTCATGCATCTGTTCGGGTTCTCCCCCTCCCCCGGAAGAATGTCTAACAGCCCCCCCCCCCCCCCAAAAAAAAATAGAAAAATAATTCATAAAGAAAATATATACTTTTACCAGTGTCTGCCTCCCCAGCCCCAGAGAATTTTATTGATTCAAGTGCCCCACCCATGGAAAAATGTCTGAAAGAAACACTGCATGATTGAGGTTTATGGGTCAAAAGTAGTAAACAGGTGTATATTATAGAAGTAGGCTCTAACTTTAACCTGTATGGTCTACAAATGCGACCAGTGTTTCTTTCAGACTTTTACCCCCAAAAATTTCCCCGGAGGTGGGGGGGGGGGGTACTTGAAATTTTCGGGGGTGAGGGTGGACTAAATTGTCTGGGTGGGGTGGACACTGGTATAAAAAATTTCTATATAAATTCTATTTCGTTGAATGGGACAGTAGACGTCTTTGTGGTGGAAGGGGGTGGGGAGACATTTTAATGTCATTTTCTGTTTCCGGTTCAATTTATGGTGAAGGTTTTGGTTTTGAGAAAAGAAACAACACTATCAACCTAGTGCCCGTTGTATCCTTCCTCAACGGGCCATTTATCTAATAGCATTTAATACTTATTAAGGAAATTTTGTTCTCCAGTTATCATGTTCACAGATACAAATGCTCAATATATTGCAAAACTGGGTTTTCCTGAATCAGGAGGGTGTAAAGTGTTGAAATTTGTCAAAATCTCTATTTAGATTTATGAACAATTACAATACTTCCTCTATACAAAAACAAAAAATTGGGTTTGCAATAATGTAACCTCAAAAAACTGTAATAAGCTGAACTCTCTCTTCTTCATTTCCCTCTGAGCAATTTTGATTAATAGGTGTGTATGATTATATGCAGCATAATTCAAACACTTTTTAAAAATAACTAGCTATGTTTTTCAAACATATTCACGTAATCAGTAAATATTAATAGGGAGAAATAAAATCATGAAATGCATAATTAAATTGACAAAGTACCAAACATTTTCCATAAATTCTAGTAGAACTAAAAGTTACATATATATGTAGTTTGCAGTCAGCTTGCAGTCATTTTTAATTATTAATTCACAATAATGGAAAAATTGTAAACTCACATTGTCTTTGCCATTTGGATAAAGCATTAGTCTTTCTTGAAAATGGGTAGAATTTGTAGGAGGCACATCTTTTGTGAATGAAGTTGAATCATTTAAACTGTCATGTGTGGCCTTCATGTAGGATTCGTTTCTTAATCCATTTCCTGTGAAATTTTCCATTAAACCAGAAACTTTTCGCAATCTAGTTGGAGGAATAGGGGAAGGCAGATCTTTATCAGCTCCAAATGTTTTAGGAAAAGTATAATCAGAAGCAGAAGAGGATCTTTGATGCAATATGTGTCCACTGTCAGAATATGACCCCAGGTACATGGTTTGAGTATTTATGTCTTTATTACTATTATCTGCTGAGTCTTCTTGTGGAAGTGTAATACTTTTATGACGTGAAACAGTTAACGTTATACACCCTGGAACTTGCCCATCTTCTAACATAGCTAATCGAAGGGCCTCCATAGCTGAAGTGTTTGCCAAACAATCCAACTTGACACCATTTACTTCTAAGAGCTGATCATTAACTTGTAACCTGCCATCCTAAATATTAAATAGAATGTATTAAAAAACCTTAAATTTGATGGGAAAAGAAAGAAAACATTTCATAAACAATGCTAACATTAGTCTAACAATACAAATTCAGTATACAGCTCAATTTTCACATAATTAGCTATATTTCATGAAAAAAATGATTTTTTTTTTGCAATATATATACATGGATGTTCGTTGCTAGCGTCCTATTTATCTGGAAGATTTTTAAAAAATATTTATTTAAAAAAAATAATAATCGATATTCATTCCTTCATTGCGTGATTCAGAGCTAAATCATATGAAATAAGTATAAAAAATTGAGGACTTGGGATAATATGGGTTAATATTTTAAAATACAACTGATCTTTAGTTTTCAAATTTCAGAACAAACCAAACCTTGAATGCTGCACCTCCTTGCAAAACTGTTTTTACATAAATGCCCAAATCTTTACTGCCTGTTTGAAAAGTTTCTGTTCTTCCTTTAACACTAACACCTAATCCAGCAGAACCTGATTCATTAAGTGGAATGTGAAGAGTAATTTTCTCCTTGTTGGCAGCGTCATATGACTTGTCTATTTCTTCTTCTTGGTGAGAATGCTGTAAGGGCAAGACACTTAGTTCACCATCAGTAACACAATTATCCAAAGCATAACTTATAATATGATCCCCATCTTTAGCATCCAAAGAGTTGTCCCCCTGAAAACCAAAGAAAAAAAACAAGTCCACAAAGCAAGCAAGCAGGCAGGATTTAGCAAACAAAAGACATTTACTACTAAAAACAACTACACTGACACATTCATGCACCTTTTTTTCTCTCTTAATTAGTGAAGGGATGGTCTAAGTAATTAAAGAGAGTTTTCAAATTTAAAAAGGTAATATTTAAAAATATGAAGTAAATATAGGATAGAACTATTTCTTTTATGACATCATCAGAGTACAAAGTAAAATGTACGTTTTTTTTCAAACAAGACTTAATAAAGTTTCTACATTTAATAATTAAAACCAAGAATTAAAATGTTTTTCTGCTTTGAAGTATTAATGGAATAAATTCATAACAGACTACTGAATTTTTAGCCTGGAGCTAAAATAATAATAATAATCATAATAAAGCATTGACTGTTTAGTAAGTAAACATTTTTCTAAATTCATAGCATTATTTTACAAAAATATCCTTAAGTTACAGAAATCAAAGAAAACAGTAAACTGGTTAAAACATTTTAATAAATAAAAAAAAACCTTAGTTGAATTAAACAAGATTAACTGATTGTTGTAAAATGACAATCAATCAACTGACAGAAAAGCATTTTAGGTTTGAAAACATTTCAATAGAAAATTAAGATAACGAATATATGAAATAAAATCAAGAAACTTTTAGAATTTAAATAAATTATTCTTGAGCAAAATATAAAACAAGTTATTAATCTTTAATGAATATGTTTAAAAGTTCTTGCATCTAATCAAAATATTTCATTTCACAAATTAGTAATATGCAACAGAAACAGCTTTAATAGTATCATTTTCAAACAAAATGGACAAGAAGCTGATTTCAGGTCTCTTGAGATCAATTTTAACAGCTATGACAGGTTATTGTTTGTATATGTATGCTCTTATGTAATTATATAAGACATGCATGTATTGTCATATGTATTGTTAAAGTAAAAGTATGATAATATCAGAATATGTAGCCTAAAAATTTTAATTTTGGAAATCTGCAGAAATTCAGAAATCATATGCCTGATTTATTTTACCAAGAAGCTAGAGATTAGAGATTATTATACAAGGGACAATGGTGGTATAGTTAAGTATGTTGTAGACCTACAGATAAGCAGTAATATCCGTAAAAGATATCAAGTTAATTAGCTGATTTTTAAACCATTCTTTATTGACAATAATAGCCAAACATCACACCAAAGGACATAAAAAAGCTGCGGTAAACAGTGTTCATGCGATAAATAACATTTAACAGCCATAACATTTTCACACTGGTAAACACTGTTGTTTGCCTGTTTTTATTACATTCCCAGGTATTTAATTTACTAGCCATGGGTACCTGTTTCACGTGAATTATAGACCTATATTTTTTTACTGTTATACTTATTTAGAAAAAATAATTTATTTAATAGTTATTAGTCAAAATGCTTTACTACACGTTGAACGATATTAGTGACAAAGCAAAGAAATAACTAAATTGCTAAAAATCAGACACATTAAAAATAACTTCTACCACCTACTATAAAAATTAAAACTGAATTAAATACATTATTAGTCAACAACACCATATTAAATGCACACGCTGATTACAGACCTGATTCTGTGGTCATTCAATTGTCATTATGTTGTTTATAAAAGTAATTTTTATTACTTTGACCAAGATAATTGTATACATTTCATAGAGTCTGTCTTGGTAAGCCGATTTTTAGTATCTAGATCTAAATCAGAGAGTTAATTTCTTCATATTCTAAAATTGTGAAATGACGACCATTAGTGTTGTGTTCTTTCCGTAGTTTAAACATATTGATGAGATTTCATATATAAGTATTTTATCAAATTTGTAGTATGTATCAACTTTTCAGCGATTTCCAATAACCAGAAGTGGAACTTATTCTACTTTCAATTTTTCAAAAGCCTATAACTTGAGTACTATTTCAGATAGATCAATGAAATTTCACATGTAAGTAAAAGATCTAATTCTCTGCCTCCTAGCAAATTTTGAGTAATTTCTGTTGACTGGAAGTACTAATTTACACTATTTCTGATTTATCAAAAAAAAAAAAAAACGCATGTGAATTTATAAAGTACTAATAATATTCCGCTCTATTATACAATGATTGTTTGGTGTTCACTTGGTGCACAATTCTTTTTTCTACAAAATTCTATTCCATTTTAAAAAGTTTAAGTAATTAAAAATGGATTTAAAATTATGTCTATTTACCGAGTTGCCATACTAATAGTGTTATAAAAGAATAATCGAGAAAGTGTTGGGGATATCACTCCCGCTTTATTTTCATTAAATGTGATCTGACATTAAGCAGTATTTAAATGTAGCCTACAGACCAGTTATATATAACTAGAAGCCTACTAATGTCATTAAACTAATTTTAAATAATTATTATTTTTGACTTAGTAATTAGTAAAGTAGCGTCCACGCGTATGTTCCTCTTTTTGGCTTCAAATTCCTCTTTTTAGGCATGACTGTTGCTACTTTTGGCTGACTGGTAGGCATGTCTGACACTATAATGATCGTTTGCAGTGTTTTCAATTTAATGATTGTCTTTTCTCAAAAAGTACCTGTATTTTTAAAACATAAACGAGCCAAGTAGTAATTTTAACATTTCAGTTTGATAGACAATGAGATCAACCTGAATAACTGAAATTAGATTTTAGAAAGTTATTCTTTACTTTTTAAAAATTAATATTTTGAAAACAAACTTGGGCCAAGCGGACCAGTAATCATGAGGATAGTAAAAACACCAATATGTATGCTTTCCAAATAGCCTTAGACAACTATTAAAAATTGACGGGTATGGCATCCCCCTCCCTCCAACAACTAGACACGGTGTTGAGGTCATTGTGAAGGCCAATTGCATGTCTTAACATGAACAATTGTATTTGAGATGGATGATGTCACTATATTCACCCTCCAACCACCCAAAACAATTCAACAAACAAGCGGTGACGTCGTTAGCCTTTAATTTTCTTCATGAGCAAAAGAAACGCTGGCTTTCGTACATTTTGTGTTGTTGTATTTTACAAAATAGTCTGCTAAAACAGTTGCCCTTAAAATGAGTGAGAGATAATATTGAACAAGACCATATTTGTGCGAGATCCTAATTATTTAATAGATTTTATTTAGGTCCACCATCTAGACTACAGGGCAAGTTCATGTTAAGTTCAAATAAACCTTTAAAAAATCATGTGTGGCCATGATCGAGATGTCCGTGTCATGTAGGGGAGACTAAATGTCAGACGCTAAAAATAACTAATTTTTTACCAATCCTATTTCACTATTTGTGATCATTTACAACAGTACAGGGTCTGTAAATAAAAGGAACATAGTGGCTAAAAAATGATGTCACGCCAATATTAAGTAAACTTAGACATTGGCTAGCATAACAGAAGATGTTGTACAATGTATGCTTGCACGATTGGCGGAAAACAGATCAACTATAAACACATTCCGGGTCTTAATAATGAAAACTATTTCTAGAAAGTCAAAACAATCTTGTTTGTTTTATAACTTCAAACCCGGCTATTTTTAAACTCAAATTTGGCTAAGCCGAAATGGAAATTATATTGCAAATTGTTGGTGAATGATTTTTTTTCTTCTGTTGTTTGAGCCAATACAGTGAGACCAGTTTAGTGAGCCTTAAATCTAGACCACAAGAACTGGCTAAACTACATTAGACTAGGTTGATGCTTTGTCCGAATCTGGAGATATTTTGGGGATGAAAAAATTCCAGGCTATTATGAAAATTTCCAAACTATTTATCTACCAGGAAATTTTATCTTAAAACTAGCGTGCACTTCCCAGCGTGTTGCCGTAGGGTCAGAAGGAAGTCTGATGAAATATTTTAAGAGGGTTTCATCAATGTTACCAATCCTATATTCTTAGATGTGTGACCATGTTTTTTAAACTTTAAACTAAGTTATTTAAATGTAAACAATGCCTGCATTTGGATCATTTTTATCAGAGCACCGGCAGACGCGCCTGATTTAATTTAGTGAATGAATATAATACTACATCTTATCTATATTCTATTGCACTCTTGACAACAAACGTATGCGCATTAGTGCTCACGGGAAAGCCCAGGGAGCCAAATAGCACCCTGCGCCAGATTCGACTTAGTGAGCAACTGGGGTGCTTCAGGTCACACAAATGCCGGATTGCGGGCAGCTGCATCTCTTGCAATTTTACCGCTTAAAATGGTAGTACCCCTTACACACTATGAAGGACACTCAATAAATGGAAACCAATGCTACGATAGCCGCTCTTGAACTCTGGGTGCCAAATCGTGTATTGACAAAAATCACACCCTCCTGGGCAGCGCCCATAAGAAAATTTAACATTTTTTTTCCACAGACACTTTTTCAGGAGTATTCTCATCAACTCCCCAAATTTCATTGCACTCGGGTGAATGGTGTTAAACCACATCCACTTTTATTTTTTATATACCGTATATAGACAAAAATCGCATCCTCCCAGGATGTTGCCCTTGCAAAATTAAAAAAGGATTTTTTTTTGTGTGCAGAAACCTCACCAGGAGTGCTCTAATTGACTCCCCAAAGTTTCATTTTTATAGAAAGACAGATACACCAATATTGCCAATTGACAAGTTCAATGTATTATTATCTTCAGGGTATAGCTTTACTGATATGCTTATTTGTTGTTTCAATTAGGTTCCAATAATATTATCAATTTTTAAAATAAAAGTTAATTAATTAATTAATTAGCAAGCAGACAACCAGAAAAAACGTAGTTGACATTTTAATATTTTTTTCTAGATCTGTATAAAAGCAACGTGAGTTTCAGCTTAAAAAAAAACCTTTCTTTGCTTAGTTACATATTGATAGTCGCAAAACGACTAACTCTGTTTTTTTTCTGCACAAATTGAAAGATAGTATGAATGCGCAGAGTAGCTAAATTTTCAAAGCCATACAATAATCTACATATTTAAGGACAGTGTGTAAGACTATAAGAGTGAAGCTGAATTTAAATTTTGAACTTAGGTCAGGGCTTCACTTTAAATTAAAGATGGCTGTCCAATAATGTTCATTTTTGTCACTTGCAATGCTGAATGCATTTCAATCTATTGTAAGCTTTTGACTATAGCTTTAATGATAGAACTGTTTGTTGTTTCTATTAGGTTCCAACACCATTATCAATTATCTAATTTGAGAATACATGCGATAAATAGACTTAACCCTTTAAACTTGCAGTACCGCTTTATAGGTCCTAGTCTCCATGCCCCGAGATACTGATAAAGTGGTACTATACTACACCTTACCTCAGATCTATATTAAAAAAGTACGTAACTGGTATTGTTAGACTGTCATGGCTGCGGGCATTAACCAAATTTTATGATGGAAAGATGATTTTTAAATTCCAAAACTAGGATTCAACCTATGTCTAAATCTACCTATGTATAAAAGAAGGGTGTATCTACATGGACAAAGGATTACTAAATCAAAATATGGGCAATAATTCATATGTACAAATGTTGATTGAAATAATAAAATTAATCTTGCTGTTATATTCATAGTCTTTATTTTTTTAATTGAGAGTCTGTTGTGTGTACATTTAACTCAGGAGCTCAGGGGCATGGAGATTTTAGGTTCAGGAACCAAGGCTTGAATGGATTAAGCCATTTGTTAGGTCTGTCGGAGAAACTCGATTCTAGATTCTAATATTTAGAATTTAGTAATATCTGGACCTGTACAAACACAATAAATAATTGAGTTTTGAGGCTTTATAGCTTTAATAATATAGCGGTTTGTTGTTTCTATTATGTAACATTGGAAATAGGTTAAACTAGGATATAATTTAATTAAAACAAATTGTTATGAAAGTTCCTAGCTAAAATTTATTTATTTTTATTTATATGAGGCTTGCACTAGAAAGAAACCGCCTCATAATTATTTAAATTCCGATTAAGTGAATCACGAGTTTTGTTTTAAAGTTGGTTTACAAATCAAAGAAATACAAATGAGGTGCAGTGAAGGAATATCCACACCAATGTGACGCATACACAAGGGAAGTACTACAGCCACCACAAAATGTTGCTGATATTTTGCTACATTTTCACTTTTATTTTGCAATCAAACGAGTTACCAAGCTTTTTTTAATACTCATTTCAGGTGTTAAATTAGTCTAATAGCTTTTTTTAATACTCATTTCAGGTGTTAAATTAGTCTAATAGCATGGTACTTGGCAAAAGACTGACATTAAAAAGGCCAACTAGGCATAAGGCTGACAGCAAAAAGGCAGACAAACAAAAATCCTAATATCACAATAAATGGGTTACTACAGAAATGTCTTCTAGACTACCATCAAAGAACAAAGACTGAGGCCACTAACATCATCGCTGACATAAACATGGCGCAATTTCCAAGAGAAGAGACGAAGGGAGTGTCTTAAACAGAAAATATCAACACCTAAATATTGCAAAATATGGTCACTAATGACTGGCATTGCTCCTTCTTTGTCAACAAGGTGAGACAAACATCAAAGAACGAAGTCTAAAGCTGCCTGAGACAATTTTAGTTGCTATCCTTATTAATAATTCAGTCCATGCTACTGTAGATGACAAAGGATAAGTTAATAGTGGCAATACCATCAAATTTCAAGAAGAAGTGAAAGAAACTAAATGATCACGTGCTTTGATCAAACTACATGTTAAGTAACGACAAAAATTACAATAACAAGCTAGTTTTATACTTGAAAAAAATGGTATGCATATTTGTTTGATTGTGGCACATTGTGTGTTGTATTTTAAGCTCATTGAAGTAACTAAGAATATTGATGGGAAAATGAAATAATCATATATATTTTAGATACAATGGAATGCAAAGTTATTGAATAACAGAAGGGGAGAAACATGCTTATTGCTGAAGGATTTGTCCGGACAAAAATCAGACAAAGAGGAGACCTCTTTTAATGGGAATGTAGCCAATGCCAACATTTAGCTGCACGTCAAAAGGCAGAACCTTTGCAGATCTGGAGAGGCCATGTATTGGATTATAGATGGAACGTTTAAAACTGCTCCTAATATTTTCCCACAAATCTACTCTATTCATGCCCCTGTAGATTACAAAAACTGCAGTGTACATGTTGATGCTTAAAAAATCAGAGGTGATGTATACAAAAGCATTCCGGGACCTTCTAGAAATCACTGAAGAAACAATACATGTAAACTTAGTACACTTGGCAGTTTGTGTGTGAAGACTGGTGTAGGGGGAGGGGAGATTACTTTGCATCATTTATCATTTTCTGAAGGGAAACTGGGTCTATTAGTAAATATGTGTAAATATATATATATATATATATATATATATATATATATATATATATATATATATATATATAAATATATATAAATATATATATATATATTTATATATAATTCTCTTCTGGGAGCCGTAAGAAAACAAGCTGCAAGAGCGCCTTACAGTCCCCTCTCTTCCTCTCTATCGCTACCACCCCCACCCCCTCACATGGTCTGGTGAGCTGTGGTTCACGCTGTTTACATTTTACAATCATAGAGACGGGTTTGGTGACGGCTATTAGTTTGAAACGATTTTAAACTTAGAGGAGGTAACTAAGAGGAGGCTGCTTTCACGGGGGGAAGGGGGGAAGGGGGGTTTAGTGTTTTTAAGCAAATATTTTCAGTGGCAGCATTGGTACTGTCAAATTCACAAATTATAAATTACTGAAAAGTAAAAAAAAAATTAACTAAATAGCGGCGTATGATACGCAGCGGGTTGGCTCATATATATAAAACCATAACACAAACGTAATGCAAACACAATCACAAACACAAACAAAAATGCAAACACAAATGCGCACAAACACAAACATAAAAGCAAACAATAACTAGATTGGAAACATAAGTATAAAAAACAAGCTTCAAAACTGTTATAGATCAAAAATATTAATTTGTAAAAAGTACATTGTATAAAATAAATAAAAGGTAGTATTGACTCTTTAAGCCAGTAATTATTTTCAGGTTTTACCGGAATTATCTTTTTGCAATCATTTTTTTTCAGTACTCATGCGGCCCTTATCTTTTTACTCATTGATTTAAACACCACACATTATTGATAAAAATTAATCGTATTTGAATGCCCTACACCAGGGGTTGGCAACCTGCGGCTCGCGAGCCGCATGCGGCTCTTTTGATATCAAGATGCGGCTCTTCAGCTCCTTGCACAAATACTAATAATCTTAATCAAAAAATAAAATATTTGAAATAAAAAAAATATTAGTGGCTCTTTAAAACCAGGGAAATTTTGAAAATTGTAACTTTTGGCTCTTCAGCTTCAAAAGGTTGCCGACCCCTGCCCTACACACTGATATAAATTTAAAGTAATTATTTATTTAGTGAAGAAAGATAATTACTTAGTATTAAAGAAGAAAAAAGAAGTTGATTTTTTTAGGCAAAAAATTCGCTTCTGTCGGGAAAGTAGATCTACATCCATTTTTTTACAAAAATTATGGATCGGATTAGTCTTAGAATAAATACTTTAATTTTGGTTAATTTTATAATGCTGCGAAGTAAAAGTTTAGACTTGGCTGCTGAATGGCATTCCGCAGTGTTAAAAAAAATGCAGTTTTGTGAGTTGTTTTACAAAAAAAATTCTATAAAGTAAAAAAACAACCTAACTAGAAAACTACAAGAAGTAAATACAAAGAAAAATGGCCGCTCTATCGTAAGCATGACCTATAAACGAATAAATACAGAAAATTTTATCAGACGCCGGGAGCATTGTTACAGTATGGCAGGCCAGCCTATCGACAGCTAGGAGCGTCATTACGGTCTTAAAGAGTTAATAATACCTGTGTTTTGCCTACAACACTACACTTTATCAAACCATGCTAATTAGATAACTTTTTTTTTTCCAACAACAAAAAAAACTAATAACTGGTACAAAGGGAATAATTTGTACACTTTTTTAAACTAAATTAGAATGTTTGTAATGGGTTATAAATATAGTTTAATTTTGTTCTTTGCACATTACGTGAATTAAAATGATAAACTGTAAAGTGAGAGTTTAGTTTGAAAGAAAAAATGTTCCAATCATCAATTTAGATTTTTAACACTTTAAATTGAAATTTTACATAGAATTTATATATATATATATATATATATATATATATATATATATATATATATATATATATATATATATATATATATATATATATAGGCTATATATATATATATATATATATATATATATATATATATATATATATATATAGGCTATATATATATATATATATATATAGGCTATATATATATATATATATATATATATAGGCTATATATATATATATATATATATAGGCTATATATATATATATATATATATATATAGGCTATATATATATATATATATATATATATATATATATATATATATATATATATATATATATATATATATATATATATATATATATATATATATATATATATATATATATATATATATATATATATATATATATATATATATATATATATATATATATATTGTTTAAATATTAAATTTACATTATAAATATTAATGTTGAATTAATAATAGTGTAAAGTTTAGTATCTGTGGGAATTATTGTAGGGGTTATCTAAATGAATATAAATATATATATATATATATATATATATGTATACATATTTGTATAAATACATAACATACAAAACTATCTAAAAATAATTTAATTTACATACCAATTTTCTAGGAACCTTAAACTTTTCATCAACTTCTTCTTGCCTGGAAACAATCAGTACAACCTGACCACCTTCAGGGATTTGCCGTAGAAAAGAAACAGCTTCTTTTTGAGTTTTCCCAGTCATTTCAACACCATTGACCTTTAATCAAATAATAACTGTACACCATTCTAGCATACTTGATTTTAACGCTAGTTATTTTATTTAAAAAGTTCAAACCATTTTATAACATAACTCAAAACATCTTCATCAACAAATGCCATATAGATTAGACCGTTTAAATGGAACTTTATTTGTGCTAACTTAAAGATAAACAATAAGTTTTGTACGGTCTAAAGAATGAGACAAAAAAAAAACTGACTCTTACAAAGATTAAGAGGTAATAAAAGGTATTTCTACAATCTGGAGCAAGACACATACATTTTTAAAATAAAATAATTAAAAGAGCCTTTATAAAAGCTATTAAATGCTCTAAAAAAAACTGAAGAATTTAAATTGAAGCATTAAGCATTCCTGCAATCTATTAAATAGATTTATCAACAAGCACTCTGAAAAATATATACTTTTATTAAGCTTTTATTTGTTCACAATGACTGTTTATTTGTTGGTTTGCAACAAATCTTGTAACTCAATTTAAACCCATTTCTAAAGCAGCTATTTCATCCAGATACATTTATATCAGATGACAATGTAAGAATATCTAATTAGACATTAGACTGGAAATTAAATTTTAATTAAAAATGTATTAATTCATTAATAAAAGGGAGATAACAGAATTAAGTACAGGATCAGCCAGCAAAGGACTGGCTGTTTTTTTCCCCCCACTGCACTAAGAAGGGGCAGATAATTGTCACATTCTTAATCATATGTGGTTCAAACTTTTTTTTATAACGAAAGTGGAAAATAAAACAAATAAAAAACATCATAATAATAAACTGAAAATAAAACTAATTTTGCCACTTGTAAAATCTACAACATATTTCGGCAATCGATGCTATTATTAAACAAATTAAACTTAATTTTATTTTCTTAATTAAATATTTTATTATGATGTTAATTCTAAAGTCAACACATCAATAAAAATATGTACTATAACACATGATTAGTAACTCTAAAGGACAATTAGCCCTTTATAAGAGTCATATAGTAGATCAACTATTTAAGGCACAATTTAAATCTACAATTCAATTGCAAATACTAAAAAGAACATTCAGAAGCTAGATTTTCCACATTATCTATTAGTAGATCTAATATTAGACATTAGATGTTACTTGTAAATATTGTAAGTTAACTAGGAAATGGTAACGTGTGCCAAAGGGAGATAATTGCTTTTCCCTACCTTTTTTCAATTCAATTTATTACTCTTCTTTATTAATTATTAAAAAAAAAATGGGACAAGCTTCAACAAAAACAGGACGGCGGAACAAGACAGTTTTTTTTTGTAAAAAAAAAAACAACTATTCCCCTTTTGGCGGGAATGTCTGGCATGTCTGGACATGAAATGTAATAATTTAAATTAGTTATAGGTTTAATAAAAGATATATACTAAAGTAATAAACAATAAAAAGTTGACTGACAAACTTATTTACTATTCTGGTAAAACGTCAGTTTAGAAAAGCTTGGTGGTGTGGTGTTAATGAAGAAAACTGACATTTTCTGCAATGGGGCCTAGAGCAATTTTAAGTATCACTATAGTGTGTTTTGCAGAGCTTGGCCTATTTGCACCAATTATATTCCAATTTTTTATTTCAAAAGGTTAAAGGTCGGCCATTTTGAAAATGCCAATAAAAAGTTTATAGTGTTTTCTTCTTATTCTTCTTCGTTCTTAATTTTTATTGTTGGAAGTGATCGAACCTTATCTGCCAGAGGGTTTGAACGCGAGAATTTTTCAAATTGCACCCTACCACGCCTATTCAATTAAGTCAGCGACTGTAATGCCCCTTCTTATCCATTGTCTATCACACTGTTTAGAACGACCGTAGTCGCCTTTGCGCTCACGGGTAAGACCAGGGCGTCAAATTGCATCCTGCTGGGTGCAGCCCATGTGAAATTAAACTCCCCCCCCCACCATCCCCAGAAACCTTCTCGGGAGTACTCATTGACTCCCTTAAGTTTTATGGCACTCAGATAAACAGTGTTGAGCCGCATCCGACTTTCATTATTTAAAATATATTGTGTGTGTGTATATATATATATATATATATATATATATATATATATATATATATATATATATATATATATATATATATATAGTTGGATTGTGAGGAAAAATAAAGGCAAATAGAGGAAAAAAACAAATCACGCTCTGCCAGGGCGCCACCCCTGCGATTTGAATTTTTTTTCCTCAGAAACCTCCCCAGGAGTATTCTCAACAACTTCCCAAATTTCATGGTGAACGGATTAAAGGTGTAGTAATGCATAAAAGACAGACAGACAAACACACACAAATTGCTTTTAATATATATAGATTTTTTAATCTAGCTTTTGAACATGGAGCAGTCTATTTAGACAAGCTCTAAAAAGGGCCAGCCAAAAAAAGTGATGAAAAGCAAATAAATAGATTGTAATACTAAGAACTAAATTCTTTTAAAAAATTGTGTATTGCACCTAAATAGAATGAAACAACTAAAATAAAATAAAATTTTGTCTTACCTGCAGCAAGCGATCACCTGGTCGTAACTGACCATCTTGTACCGCTGCACCCTTCGGAAGAATGTTTCGAATATATATTGGACAATTGCCATCAGTCTGGTTATCTCTTGAGGTAACACTAAAACCTAAACCTAAGGGACCTTTGGTAAGGTAAATAACAAGTTTTTTTCCAATTCTTCGAGTATTAGTAAGTGCATTTAGAGGAGTATCTGTGCTAGATAGTGCTGTACTTGGACTTCGAGTAGGAAGAACAGGAGGTACCCTTTTAGCCTGCTGAAAAGGCTGGATGGCTGGTTTAAGAAATGGCAAAGGGCTGCTGTTTGAGGGTACAGACACTTTATTTGGGTTTTTCAATGAGGCAGAAGAGTTGGTGCTCTGATCAGAAATTATGAGATCAGTGAGCTGAGGACTGCTAATTAACTGTTCTGAATCTGAAAATACTTTTGAAATATCTCTTGGGGCTGGAATAGGGTTGTTTGCTTTCACTTTTGAATCACCAGAGGATAATGCAAGTGGAGAAGGCTTCATTGGTGTATGACTTCGAGGTTTAGGCAGAACAGGTGGTGGCTTTTGTTTCATAGGATCCTTAAATGCTGATAAAGTTTCATTTTTTCCTTTAACCACTTGCAAACAAATTTCTTTAGAGTCCATAGCTGTGCGAAATATTTCCTGTGCCCTGATGATATAATTTAAGTTTAATTACAATTACATCTGCAATTTTAAAAACAATTAAAATGTAATCATCCACATAAAAACAAAGTGGAAGATACTGGTTGAGACTCTATGCTCAACAAGAAGTTAAGATGACTTTGTCAAATCAACATGTAATTAACAATATGAATAAACTTTCATTTCAAGTCTACTGACTTTAAGCTCCCCTTTCAGACCTGAAATTCCATAGGGCAGATGAGGTAAAGTTCATGTATCTTGACCTTGACATATGAAGGGATGGTGTGGTCAGAACCATGCTTAGCTGCCTTTACTTTTCCCGGCGTTAGTCAGGTGCCCATTAAAGCTGGGTGGACTCAGAGACATTCTACAGTTCAAGTGAGATAATAACTCGAGACCTTTAGGCTATTAGCCGACACTCTACCATTCGAACAACATCAGAACCCTACAAGAAAGCAGTAGATCAGCGCAGGTGGCCAAAAAAAATTAGAAGGTACAAAGCTCCAGAACTAAGCAAGACACTGTGGAAAGGCAGTGGCCAAACTAGGCTTGTCATGGAAGAGACTCAGGTCATGATGATAAAGACCATAAACACACTCAGTGTGTAGCCCTAATGATGTCTCCAGAGGCAACAAATGCTTTGATTGGATGGGAACGTGTTTCACCACGGCTTATATCAGCTCATTTTAATGCCAAGGGAGAGAAAACAATTTTAATTTAGTGCTATGCTTCCACAAATGCTTCATGAAGATATACACAAGACTACCTGGGCATCACCTGATGACAAAACTAAGAACCCAATAGACCACATCAGTTTCCAGAAAGTGGAGAGGTTTAATGGATGTGAAGGTGAGGTGAGGTGCGACACAGCCTCAGACCATCAACTCGTGGTTGCAATATTCAATTCAAAACTAAAAACCTACAGGGATCTAGCTAGTAAACCGCAAGTTCAATACAAAATATCTTAGTAGTCCAAAAGTAAAGGAGGACTTCAACTGCACAGTACTAAATAGGTATGAAGCACTGCCCAGTGTGGCAGAAGAAACTGTAGAGCAAAAAAGGCTAGGAATAAAAGAACTATGGAAGGCAACATGAACTGACATATTGGGAAAGAAAAAAATGAACAAAAAGAATGGATCACACCAGAGACATGGGCCAAGACTGAAGATAGGAAAGAAATAAAACAGATGATAAACCAATGCCAGGACGACAAAAGGAAAAAATATACCTAGGAAAATAATATTGTGAAGTAAATCACATGGTCAGGAAAAGTGCAAAAGAAGACAAAAGACAATTCATACAAGAGATGACAGTGGAGGCAGAAACTGCAGCAGGGCAAGGAATCATGAAGAGACTCTATGAAGTAGCCAAAACCTTTCAAATAAAAATATTAATCACAACAAATCAGTGAAGGATACAGGAGGAAAGATCCTAACAAGTGACACGGAAAGAGAAACCGATAGACACTTTGGTGAGATTCTAAACCAACCTCTCTCATCAACCATCCCTGATACACCACCTGAAAATCACCTACTTAATGTGAGTACAGGTCTCCCCACAAAGTTAGACACAATAAGAGCAATAAAGAGCATAAAAAATGGCAAAGCAACTGACTCAGATGGCATCCCGCCTGACTGGAAACTGGACTACCTGATAAAACTGCCAAAAATAGGAGACCTGTCACAATGCCACAACTGGAGAGGGATAATGATTCTTTCAGTCCCAAGTAAGGTGCTGACAAGAATCATCCTTGACACTTAAAGATACCTTGATTTTACTGATGATATCTGCCTACTATCTCACAAGCAACAAACCAAACTGAATCGACTATCTGAAGAAGCATCCGGAGTTGGATTAAAATCAATTGAAATAATAAAACAGACGTCAGAATAAAAAACAATCAGGACCGGCCCATACAGCTAAAAGGAGGAGATATACAAGGAACAAGCAAATAAACGTATCTGGGGAGGGTGATCAAAATGGATGGGGGAGCAAACAAGGACATAAAAAGCTGTATCAGTAAGGCCAGATGTGCCTTCAACTCACTAAGCTCAATATAGAATCGCACACTCCAGAGCGAGATAAGAATCTTCAATACAAATGTTAAGGCAGTATTACTTTATGACTCAGAGACCAAGAGGGTTACCAAGGCAAATACAGACAGGCTACAGTCATTCACAAACAGACATTGTGACAGGTCCTCAAAATTAAATGTAAGTAAATCATATCCTAAAATTTTTAAACCCTGAAACTTAAGGTCGTGTCAGAATTTTAAAAAAATACAATAGAAAATACTGACTTACTTTTCCAGACATTTCTTAATAAATGCAAAAAAAGCTGGCTTTTGCATATTTCGTGTTTTTTATTTTTAATATGGGTTACTCCCAAATTCTGTATCACTAGCTAACAGTGAAATAACCTGCTAAAACAGTTATCCTTAAAATGAATATGAGATAATATTAAACTAGACTGTATTCACTATTCACGCGTGTTCTTATTTATTTAATTAATTTTATTTAGATCCATCTGTAGACTACATGGCGAGTAAAGGTAAGTTCAAATTAGCCTAAAAAAATTTCTATAGCAGTGATCTAGGGTTAGTCCAGCAAAATGGTACCATTTTTAATCTGTTTCTCTATTTGGTTTTATTTACGTGACTGCAAAGAAAAGGAATATAGTGGCTAAAAAATGATGTTACACCAATAACGAGTAGCTCTAAGCTAGCAGCCTTTGTATCATGTACGCTAATGTGATCCAGAAAAGAGGCACCCCTGAAAAAAATTGCGGTGGGTGAATGACTTTTTTAATAGTTTCGCCAATACAACAAGACTAGTTTTGTGCACCATAAATATAGAACATGAGATCTGGCGAGACTAGATTAGGCTAGGCTTATGGCTAGTCCAAATCTTGAGATATTTTGGGGATGAAAACTCCCCAGCTAAAATGAAGATTTCCCAACTATTCATTAAATTTCCTGGCCCAGGAAATTTTACTTTAAAATCCCTGGCTTTTCCCTTGTTTCCTGGCTCTATGGGAACCCAGATTTTATGTCAGTAATGTGTGGTTAAAAAGATATGAGTAATTTAGTTTCATAGGTACTGAAAAAATTGAGTTAAAAAATAATTCATGTGAAAATAATTTCAGGCTTAAAGAGTTAAAATAATAAATTTAACTTATTTATGTGTTTCAATAAGGGCTGCATTTTGTTGAGCCATTTAAGCAAATAAATCACTAAACCAAATATGTGTACTTACTTGAAAAGAAATATATACCAAGTATTAACTTTCAAAAATGCAGATTTCACTGCTTTCTTTTAGCTTAATATCTCTTACGAGCTGACCTGTGATGTAGCATATGCCGCTATCTAGTTGTTTTATTTTCTACTTATCAACAATTCATAATTTGTGAATTCGACACTAACCCACCCCCTGTCTCCCCCACATCCCGCCCAGTGAATGCAGCCGTTTACAGACGACAAAGAAAATTTCAAGCATAACTTAAAAACTATATTATCTGCCCCTAATAGCTGTCACTTATTCGAAACCGGCTCTACTATTGTAAACATTCAGGTGAGGATGAGGGTGGTGGCTAAGCTGCATGGTGTCTTTTATGATCCCCATAAAGAGAATTATGTATATATATTGTTTTAATTTTAATATCTCATAGCAAAGCAATGATCACCTTGGACTATTATGATGTCTACTAAAAATATACAAAAACACTAGATTCACTAAAAAGCAAAAAAAAAAACACTACAACTTACAATATTTTAGTCTGAAGATAAAAATTTAGTTTTTGTTAAGCTGGACTAATGAGCAACCCAGAAAATAAAGTATCATTTATGTCATAATAAGAACAGTATTTTCTAATAGGTTTATGTTACCGAAGAAAAGGAACTCCTTGAAGACTGGTCCCATTTATTTCTGTAACTATATCATCTGGTTGAATTCTTCCATCTTTATGAACTGGTCTATTTGGTTCAATACTTTGAATAAGAAGACCAATGTCTTTTCCATTTTCATCATAAGCAGGGACAGCATGAATGCCAAGAGGCCCTCCATCATTTTCAAGATGAATCAAGTTGCTGGGGTAGTAAAAGTGGATGCCAAATGAAAATAGTGTTTTTAAATGTGACTTTTTCAAGGTGTAACTCAAAGAAAACAAACCTTTTATTTTGAAAAGCCTGACACACATTCCCATCATGTCCTTTGATTGGACCCACCCTTTGCTGAAAAAAAAAAAAAAAAAACTTAAAAATTATATTGTAAACTTTTAAAGTCAGTGTAGCATTCCATACAAAGGTTTAAATAAACATGTCTTCAAAATAAATCATTTTTCTTTCAATATTGGAAAAGAATTTTATTGTCTTAGACACAGTGTAGAAATACTTAATAACTTTATTATAATACAATTTAACTCCTATTCTTGTCTTGAATGGTTCTTGTTTTTTTCAGCTATCTTAAGACACTTAACACAACACAAAACTCAAATTTGATATTACATTTAATAACAAATGCAATTATTGTTACAGCTGAGTTAGTTTGAAAACAGCATGTTGGCTAACAGCTTACAATCAAGCTATATGTGAGCTAAAGAAGTAAACCTTTCCAGACATGACAGATTATCGGAAAGATGGAGTTTTGACATTCTGAGGAAGTTTTGGTCAATTACCCAGCCAAATATGATAAGTTTAACTAGTTGACTTTAGCCAAGTAAATGGTTTACTTATAAAATAGAGTTAAGTAGATGGTTTATCTAGAGATAATGTTGCAATTCACTAAATATTTTGACATAAAAAGCTATATCAAACCTTAACTTGCAACTGTGTATGAGACTGCTCAACTTTTTCTTGTGCTTCCAGCCAGCGAAACATTTCCGGTTGATTGTTAAGTGATGTATGCAAGGCATCTCGAGTAAAATGATTTTGATGTAACTTTTTTCTATCAAGTGATCCATGCATTGTTGCCTTCATTATTTTGTCTTCATCTGATGATTCTGATACAGGTTCATCACTATCCTAATGTATTTTAAAAAATTACTATTGTTAAATAACAAAAACCACCTATACAAAAAGAAACATTTTAAAAATACTATTGAAGAATGATAAAAAGGGGCATATTTTACTATGTGTGTAAATGCAATACTCTACCCTGATACTCTCTCGTCTTGTTATAAGAGGTTTATTGGCACCATTCACGTAATCATGTAATTGTTCTTCTATTAGAAGATTCAAGTTAGGCTCACTTCCCCTCCTCACATGCAAGTTGGTCATACCTTCAATAGCAATATAAATTATTTCCATTGGTGCAGTCAGCTTATTAAAACATCCAGACATTTTAACTAAAAAATAATTTTACAACATTAATATATCTAGATTAAAATGTGTTGATGGTCTAAATCAAGTTTCCAAACAGGTAGCTGCTACAAGGAAAAATTTAGCAATTATCACACCCCATAGCAAACATGGCTGCTTACGCTAAAAACAAATTTTTAGTAACAAAATCCTTGATTTTCCATAATAATCTGATAAAGGAAAATGTTTTCACTTTTTAAAATATCTAAATCCAATTTTATATTATCACAAATGTATCACTATAATGATGATAATCAGCTAAGTTATTTATTCTACGATTTATCTTAAGGAGATGGACTAATTGCGATTTTTATCTAGATCTAGATCTAAATCCATGAAGGTTAAATCCAAAAACAAAAACAAAAGTGCAAAAACAGAAAGCTAAGCTACAATCTCGTTGAAGTTATAGGTCTGTTGATATCTTATTCTAAACCAATGTGAACTCACTGTAACCCCTAAACAGTGTTGGGATTTTTCTCACACTGACAAGAAAACATGAGCGAACTTGAGATGGCAATGTTTGAAATTTTCTTTCTTCTGGAATAATTTTTAAAAAGATCCAAGATCCAGGTAGGCCTACATGTTTAGTTAAAAAATTTTCTTCTCAAACATCTAAAATAAGGGTCTCCAAACTTTTCAGCCTGAGGGCCACATTAACAATCAAATATCAGTTCGGGGGCCAGTTTTCTCCAGGCATCTCTTCGGGGTGATAACACATTTGAGGTCCAAGTTCTTTCTCAAATAATTCTTCACGTATTTCATTCTTGTATGTATGTTGTTCCAAAATTTGAAAGGTACTTCGATGCAAAAGTTTTAATATTAGTAAAGTCTTTGTTGGGCATAAACTTATAAAAACCCACCCGCCTTTCTTTGAACTTGTATCTAAGGAGGTAAGTTGCTTGCAATTCAATGACCTCCAGCTTCAGTTCATCTGGGCAACTGGCAACATTTGCTTCAAATTGGCTTTGAAACAGTCTCACCTCTTCTGCCTTTGAATCCAAGTCAGACAATTGCTATTGAAACTGCAGCTGGAGGTCTTTGATGATCTCACATGCAAATGACGTAGGGAACTCAGTGGTTGCTTTAGCCATGAAGACCTTGCACATGAAAGTGCATCACGTTGTTGGCCTGTACTTGTTCCAAAAATAAGACAAGTTTGGATCTGAAGAGCTTTAGGTGGGTGTATAGATCAGAGACTAGATTTCCCTCTCTTGTAGTTTTAGGTTCAGAAAATTTAAATGAATAGTTATGTCTGCAGCAGAGGCCAATTTCTATACCCACTCTTCATCAGACATTAATGGCTGTGGCTTGCCTTTACTTTTCAGGAAGTAACCTATTACATTTCTTAACTTAAATACTCTGCTCAGAACTTTCTGACAATTTAGCCATCCTACTGCTGTGTAATATGGTAAATCTTGCGGTTCTGTGTTTGTATCGGTCTGCAACATGGAAGGCAATGGTATTTGCACCAAAAGCTACATTTTCAAATTGTTTTGAATATTCTGGGCAAAGTTCCCCCGCCACCTCCAACAAACATGTTTTTCTGTGGACAAAAAGATCTCAGCGGGTCGTAGTTTGGAGACCCCTGATCTGAAACAACAACAACTGGGAACATCAAACTAAAAATGCCTCACTAATTGTTTCTCACATTTTCTACTCCCATATTACCACCTTACAATTTAGCATTTTACCCACAACCTGATAATTTCTTAAATAAATAGGCTTACACAATTCACTATTTTATGACTAGAACAAGATTTTTTTGTGAAAAAATGTACAACTAAGTTTTAATTGATATATTGTCTATGCACAGACTTTCAATTAGTAAGATTTATAATATTCATCAATGGCGACAACACATTCATAGGGTCAATGAAAGTTTACAACACATGACAATGAACAGGAAGGGAGGGAAGTGGAATAGTTGCAGAAGAAGCAGAAATTTGAACTAGCTGAATATAAAACTAAGACTAGGAACTGCCAGCTACCACAAGAAAAAATAAACCGGGAGTGATCTCCCCTAAACTTTCTCGAATATTCTTATATAAAAAAACAGGGGATGGGAACTCGGGCTATAGACATGATTTTTAATCCATTTTAAATACTTAAAGTTTTAAAAATAGAATAAAATCTCGTAGACAAATTAATTGCACACCAAGTGAACGCCAAATAAAAAAGCGCATAATAGTGCGCAATATTATTAGTACTTTTAAAATTTACATTAGTTTTTTGAGAAATCGGAAGTAGCGTAAATTACTACTTCCAGTTAACGGAAATTACTCAAAATTTGACAGATGGTAGAGAATTGGGTCCTTTACTTACTTGTGAAATTTCATTTATCTATCCTAAATAGTACTCAAGTTATAGGCTTTTGAAAAACTTGAGTACCGTTACAGCTAGGTTGATGAAATTTCATATATAAGTATTTTATCAAAATTGTAGATCCGTATCAACTTTTGAGCGATTTCCGATAAACGGAAATGGTACTATTTCTACTTTGAATTTTTCAAAAGCCTATAACTTGAGTATTATTTCAGATAGATAAATGAAATTTCACATGTAAGTAAAAGATCTAATTCTCTACCTTCTACCAAATTTTGAGTAATTTCCGTTGACCGGAAGTAGTAATTTACGCCATTTCCGATTTCTCAAAAAAAGCATGTAAATTAATAAAGTACTAATAATATTCCACAGTATTATGCACATTTTGTTTTGGCGTTCGCTTGGTGCGCAATTCTTTTTTCTACAAGATTCTATTCTATTTTTAAAAGTTTAAGAAATTAGAAATCATGTCTATATTCCGAGTTATATAAGAATATTCGAGAAAGTTTAGGGGAGATCACTCCCGGTTTATTAGCTTCAGTGATCATCTAATTCGAGAATAATAGGGATTTATCTATCTAGATTCTAAATTAGATCTAGAGCTATGGAAAAACTAGACTTAAACCAGCCGTAGATTCTAGATCTAGATCTAGCTCTATCTAGATCTAGAATCTATGCCAATGAGTTTCTACACTAAACTATTCCAGGCTTTAATTTTTATAAATCTTTGTTTGTTTAACTATGGAATTGGCTTATTTGGGATAAAATTTAATTTGAACTAATACACCCCAATTGCGTAACTCAAGTTTCTTATGCTGACTCTAGATCTAAGTTAAGTACCCCACTAATTCTGCACCTTATTGAAAGTGCCTAGATAGCTGAGATGATAGTGTAACAGTTAACATGCGGGTTTTAGATGTGAACCATTAAGTTGCCTATCGGGACTTGGCAGGACACGGGGCATGTGAAGTAGAGTTCATCTGTTTCTGTCTTCTTAGCATATGAAGGGAAAGTGTGGTCAGACCCATGCTCAGCCAAAATAGGTGTTTTTAAAAGACAATAACACATTGCCTGAGGTGTGACATCTTTTTGAATGTGGATTATGGATGACCCCCGAAACACACGGTTTTTCAAGAATAACAACGGGTAGTTTAGTATACTTTAAAACTAGAATAGCAATATAAAACAGATAAAATATTTTTATTTATTTATTATTTATTTATTTTTATTTATTTTAAGGAATATTACCTTGTGAAAGATCTCTAGGAGTGATAATAACATCAGTGGCTGCATTGTTACTGCTACTACTGTTGTGTCTAGGTAAAGGATATACAGACAAAGGAGGTACAGAGGCTGCATGAAAAATATCAGGGCTGATTGTCCCAGTGGAACTAGCACTTGCTCCATCACCACCATTGTGTTGAATAAATGGTCTTTCATGTTCTTTAAATTCTGCAATTAGCTTAAAAAGAAAGAAGAAATTGTTAGGAATTTGGAATTCCTCTGTTTAAAAAGAAAAACAATTTGCAATTAATACTACTTCATAAAATTCAAACCTGTTCTCTATCATCAACGACATCACAAAGCTGATCATCAGGGTCCAAGATACCCCCACCACTAATAGTTTTAAGGCTGATCACCTCAACCCAATGATTAGATCCCTGAAAATTTTTTTAGATATCAAATTAATTAACTGTTCAATTTAATAGTATTATAAGCTGTTTGGAAAATAAATACGTAAACAAAAAAATTGAAACAAAGTTTAAACAGTTAAAATATGTCTTTATAATATTACTTTGTTTTTATTATTTAACTAGCATACCCATCTCAGGAATTGCTGTTATCTAAAAAGATATGCTGACACAACATTTTAAGTTAATTTCATCAATGCATTACCAATTGTGTATTTTTAGTTGTGAGGCCTAGTTTTAAAAACTTTCTGTTGAGGCCAGGTTTATCCACTACTGTCTATACGTTTAGGGTGTGCTGTGTGGAGCTATATGATAGACTAGGCATACTGCCTAGCTTCGCTTAGGTTTTTAAGAAAGTTGAGAAATTGAATGATTAATTTATAGGTGATTGGCTGTTATGTTAAATGCTTAGGGCCTAAATTTATACAGTCGGGTACTTTTATTGTGCCCATAAAGTGATGGAATATTCGCAAACTTATTACTCGCAAGGTTATTAGAACTGAAAGGGCTTTCATAAAAATTATTAATCAAATATAATATTAAATTACATTTGCAATTAATTTTACAATTTCAATACAATACAAAACTTAATTTATTACAAAATATTCATTTAAAACAATGATATACATTACGATTTTTGCTTTTTCTTAAAAAGAGTATACAAAATATTAAAAAATTGTTACATTAAAAAGTTACCGCCCCTGTTCATAGACCAAATGACCGAATCTCGTATAATAAGAATTTCAATCGCAGTCATTTTTAGCCCTCTTCGAGGGCTTTGATGCTGACCAACAGTTTTTCCATACGGCCCAGTCATCTATAAAGGTGTATGCAAAAAATTAGCCAGTTATACAAAGAAGAGGTACCCTAAAATTTGTGTAGAAATTACCCTGTTTTCCTTTTAAAATACAAAGATTATATAGGGATATACGACTGGTCAGTTTTGACCCGTTTCCCGATTTTTCCCGGACATGGCCAGTTTTTTGTGACACCCCAAGGCGTTCTCCTACCACCTCACAAAATATCAAGGGGGGTCGTCGGAGGAAATTTTTTTTCGTAATAGAGCTCATATAAAGAGAATTTCACTCGCGGTCACTTTTTAGCCCTCGTCGAGGGCTTTGAGTGTAACCGACAGGTCTGCCCTACGACCAAGCCATTTACCTATAAGCATGCCAAAACTTAGCCAGATGTAAAGAGGGTAAGTGCCCTAAAATCCGTTTGGAAATGACCCTCTGTTTTCCCCATAAAATACAAAGATTATATAGGGAAATACAACTGGTCAGTTTTGACCCCTTTACGAAGTTTTCCCAGATATGCCGAGTTTTTTGTGACACCCCAAGGTGTTCTCCTACCACCTCACAAAATTTCAAGGGGGGTCGTCGGAGGAATTTTTTTTTCGTAATAGAGCTCATATAAAGAGAATTTCACTCGCGGTCACTTTTTAGCCCTCGTCGAGGGCTTTGAGTGTAACCGACAGTTTTCCCTAAAGGTCAAGCGATTGACCTAAGAGTATGCAAAAAATTAGCCAGATATACTGAGTTTAAGTACCCTAAAGTCTGCGTTGAAATGACCCTCTGTTTTTCCCATAAAATACAAAGATTATATAGGGAAATACAACTGGTCAGTTTTGACCCCTTTACGAAGTTTTCCCAGATATGCCGAGTTTTTTGTGACACCCCAATGTGTTCTCCTACCACCTCACAAAATTTCAAGGGGGGTCGTCGGAGGAATTTTTTTTTCGTAATAGAGCTCATATAAAGAGAATTTCACTCGCGGTCACTTTTTAGCCCTCGTCGAGGGCTTTGAGTGTAACCGACAGTTTTCCCTAAAGGTCAAGCCATTGACCTAAGAGTATGCAAAAAATTAGCCAGATATACTGAGTTTAAGTACCCTAAAGGCTGCGTTGAAATGACCCTCTGTTTTTCCCATAAAATACAAAGATTATATAGGGAAATACGACTGGTCAGTTTTGACCCATTTCCCGATTTTTCCCGGACATGGCGAGTTTTTTGTGACACCCCAAGGCGTTCTCCTACCACCTCACAAAATATCAAGGGGGGTCGTGGGAGGAATTTTTTTTTCGTAATAGAGCTCATATAAAGAGAATTTCACTCGCGGTCACTTTTTAGCCCTCGTCGAGGGCTTTGAGTGTAACCGACAGTTTTCCCTAAAGGTCAAGCCATTGTCCTAGGAGCATGCAAAAAATTAGCCAGATATACTGAGCTTAAGTATCCTAAAGTCTGCGTTGAAATGACCCTCTGTTTTTCCCATAAAATACAAAGATTATATAGGGAAATACAACTGGTCAGTTTTGACCCCTTTACGAAGTTTTCCCAGATATGCCGAGTTTTTTGTGACACCCCAAGGTGTTCTCCTACCACCTCACAAAATTTCAAGGGGGGTCGTCGGAGGAATTTTTTTTTCGTAATAGAGCTCATATAAAGAGAATTTCACTCGCGGTCACTTTTTAGCCCTCGTCGAGGGCTTTGAGTCAAACCGATAGTTTTCCCTAAAGGTCAAGCCATTGACCTAAGAGTATGCAAAAAATTAGCCAGATATACTGAGTTTAAGTACCCTAAAGGCTGCGTTGAAATGACCCTCTGTTTTTCCCATAAAATACAAAGATTATATAGGGAAATACAACTGGTCAGTTTTGACCCCTTTACGAAGTTTTCCCAGATATGCCGAGTTTTTTGTGACACCCCAAGGGGTTCTCCTACCACCTCACAAAATTTCAAGGGGGGTCGTCGGAGGAATTTTTTTTTCGTAATATAGCCCATATAAGGCGCCGGTCAGTCGAGGTCAGTTTTGACCCCCTCTCCGTAGACTTTTTGGCCAACCGTCACCGGCCCTCGTGTTCTATCGCCCCAAGGCACCATCGTGCCAAATTTGACGCGCCTGCGGCGCCGGGAAGTGCCCTATCGGGCACCCGACAACTTTGCTTTATATATATAGATTTACATTCTATAACATAAGACCTATGTTCAATTTCCATTATTGAGTGCACAGACTTTTATTTTTAGTCATACCAGCATATAGCTTTAGTAAGGTTACACCAAACAAAATTTATTTTTTACTTCTTAATGCATATTTCCATTTGTCATTTTCTTGTGATTTGTAAAAAAAGCCTTTTTCCTTAAAATTTAGGAATAATTACCCCTAAACCTATTTCTAATCCTATACTTAAATCTACCCTATTCCTAACATATTCTTCAGCTGTTTACCTGTATCTCTCTAAATGACTGGTGCGTAATTGATTGGGGTAATGTCTTACTGCAGTTATTTGGGCAAGGTTATGTACAGGGGAGGTGATTGACATTGGGAGGTAATGAATGGAATGGGGGAGTGGGAAATGACCGGAAGTAAATTAACAGGTTGTTATTGTTAATCTTCTGAAACGTTCTTAATCCAACGTCCTTTTCTGCTTGTCGCACATCATAAGCAAATCCAAGAATGTGATGCCAATAAGGGGTCATCCATAAATGACGTCACACTCTAAGGGGGGAGGGGGGGTCAGTAATTTTGTGACGATGTGTGATGAGGGGGAGGGGGGTCATATGGTGTGACATCACACTTTTGCGTTAGAAAACTAATTTTAGCCATTATTTCGTGTTTTAGAAAATAGTTTTATAAATTGTAACAGGAATTGATTAAAATATTCTATAAAGTTCAGACAAAATTTTGGAAAAATATTGTATTTTAAGAAAAATTCAACTGCAATTTTGAGGGGGGTTGTAAGCTGAGGTGTGATGTCATTGGGGGGGGGGGATGTCTGGCTTTTTGTGATGATGTGTGATGGAGGGGAGGAGGGGGGAGGTAAAAATCATTTTAAAAAGTGTGATGTCATTTGTGGATGACCCCTAATGGACCACTCTCTTAGCATAAGCTAAATGCTCATGTGAACATTATGGCGATTACATTTGCTTTAAAGACTACCCTACAATTTTGACATGGTGGCACATGACATTCGATGTTTAAACCATTGACTGTGGGCTCCCAAGAGAGCCCTGTTACATCCCTTACACCTGAGAGGTTGCCAAGTGTGTTCTACCTCACTATTATGGAGAGTGATTAACGTACTCTTAAGGCTTTCATACAGCATGGCTAGCTGTGTGGCAGTGTGGGTAAACCCATGCCTCGACAAATATGATCCAAGAATATATAGAGCAGCATTGGATACATTTTAATAACTTTAATTTTAGAAAACAAGGTCACATGTCTAAGAATATAGGATTAACACATTAATGAAACCCTCTTAAATTACTGCAGCAATGAATGGGATGGGCAGGCTAGTAAAAAAAAACATAAAACAATTTATAATTATAGTAGCATTTTTAAGGTTATAAATTATTAAAATACCCGAGTTTTATTATATCCTCAACTCTGTTTTTATCACAGAATGATAAATACTAAAAAGGTGATTACAGTCTATAAATTGCACCAGTGCTGAACACTGTATATCATATTTAAATTAAGAAGAACTAAAATGAGGGAAATGAGGTCTCAAGAACTTAAGTAGTGATGAAATTAATTTTAATTACTTAAGTAAACAATGCAGCTTTATTGGGCTTTTATATATATAAAAAAAAGCAAAACCTGATTTATAATTTTAGCAGCATTGTAAATTATGAAAATATAAAATATTATATCCTCAGCCCCATTTTTATTTCAGAAAGATAAATAAATAGTAAATAGGTATATACAGTATATACAAACAATCTATAAATAAGAGACTAAATTACACCAGTGCTAAGCACAGCGAGGTATATTTAAATTATGAAGAACTAAAAAAGGTGGAATGAGATCATCTATTTGGCTTATACAACAAATATTTGAAAAATTGAAAACAATTTAATTTTCAAAATCTAGCCAGAAAGAGCGCGACCACCTTCATATTTTAATAGTCCTCTAGTGTGGTGAAAATGGATTCACTTGGTGCAAGTGTTTAGAGATCTATAATGGAGAATGAATTATGACCACCTGTCTTCTAGCTGACAGAACTTTAGACTTTAATTTAATGGATGTGAAAAAAAAATAGTTTCAAATATGGACATGAGCAGTGATATAACACCTATTACTATTAGCAACTATACTAATATTGTAAATAATGTATTGAAAGAGTAACACTATGCTCTTAAAAATGTATTTCTTCATATCACACACATGCTAATAGAAATAGTATTAATTGTCTTTTAATAAAATCATTGAAGCAAAAAAATAAAAAGTAAAGATTTATATGTAACAAAATTTAATCAAAGATGAAAACATTTCTAACCATTTAGTAAGTAAATTATAAGTAACAAACACACGTTTAATAGACAACACAGAAAATGTACTTTAAAAGATTCTGCAGAAATATAGTCCCTACATGTAATTTGTTTTAGAATACCGGTAGTTAAGCCTGAAAGAGTAACAATAGCAGCCAAAGTCAACATAAATTTCAAAGAGAAGATGCAGCAAAATTTGGTACTATTCCATTTGCTGAATTTCCAGTATAGTATTAGTATTCATATCTATTCCAGTCCTATGAACATGGGGCAAGATATTTAATACTACTGTAGAGATTTGCTGTCTTGCAAATGTAGCTGTTAAAACTTGTATAGTCTCTTAGTCACTGATTCTAAGTAATAAAAAATAAAATTGAACAATATGGAGTTCCTTAAGCAAAGCTGAAAATAGAAGAACAAAATATGCAATTAAGGATGAGTGTGTGTTCTATCAGGTTAGTTTGGCACAAAGCAAATCATAAACATTAATAACAAAATGGTTACAAACAGGTACAGGCGCTTTAAGGTCATCCATTTATGACGTCCACAAAAATTTGGAATTTTTTACCTTCCTGCCCGCTCCCCACCCCCGTCCCCTTTTGACAAGCGCCCCCAACCCCCTCCCTCCATTGTGGACGTCCACAAAAATTTAGTAGACCTCTCAAAACAAGCTGCAAAATTACTGATTCATTAACATGTAATGTGTACATTGCTATATTTTTAACTGATAATGTTATATAGGGATATTTTCGGTAACATCTTTTATTAGGCCTAATTAATAATTGGGAGTCCCAACTTTTCCAAAATGTCGGTAAGGCTACAGTGTGTAAATTTACTGTTGTTGTGTGAATGCGCTAAGACTATCTAAAATTGTTCTTAATTGAAAGAATGATAGTGCATGCCTCTTGATTTTAAAGGTTTTGTTACCCACTATTTTTCATAAAGAGTCAGAGATTGCAGGTAATCATAAAATTATTTTTTTCTACTGAAGATGCTATAGAACGAACTTTTAATGTCATTTAGTAGTGACTATATAGGTTAGGGTAAATTGGCTAATCAACGTGACATCATTATGTTACTTTTACTCAACTTTATGTTACATGTGTTACCAAAACAAACCACCTCTCCCCCTTTTGTGTGTTCACGCTGACCGTTAGCCCTACAAACCTAAACAAGTGAACACTTTATACAAGCAATGATATTTAAATATCTAAATTGTAATGTGGTTATTTTGGGATTTTGCATGAAAAAAATGACTACATCTACATCATTTTAGGCTTTGACACAAAATAAAGATTGTGGGCCTAATATGATTTAGTTACAATTGTTTGAAATGTTTAAAAATGAACTTGAAATACCAAGAACTGTTTTAGAAAATTGCAGCAGTCAATGACCCCCCCCCCCCCCCCCTTGTAAAAAAAAAATTTGCTTTTTTCTTAGGCGGGCAGTATACAGCTACATTTCTAGTACATTTAACACAAGAACTGTTGACTTAATGTATAACCTACATTTTATGTGCAGTTGTATTATTTTTTCAAATGTAAGTATTTTGTTGTTTAATTCAACATGTGGATGTCCACACTGACTTGAAACCCCCCCCCCCCAAAAGTCAATTTTTTTTTTCTACCCCTACCCCCCACCCTTGTGGACATCATAAATGAATGACCACTTTACGTAATATGAATTCACATTTAGTAATTTTCTTCGGCAATATTAATCAAGACCATTTACGATTTATATTATTCGATATAAACCTAGTGATGTAGTATTACTAACACCTGCCCATTAACAACACTAAACAGACAATATGAAAACAATAAATAAGTGTAGTAGGCTTTTTGTTAAATTAATAATAAGCTTACTTAATGGTTTAATTGACAAAAGCAGCATTAAAATAAATGTAACTTTAGTAAAGTATTATTGCAATTAGCCAGTATTAATCCTATACCAAGTACTAACATTTTAATAATAAAAATAAAGACTTTCTCAGTCACTTTTTCTACCTTTGTGCTGGGCTAAGTAGCAATTTAAGGAAATAATTAAGTATGTTAATTCTATCCGACCTCAAAATGTTATTGGAATAACTTTTTCTGTGACTTAATGTTCTAGGTAATAAATTTAAACTCTTACCTTGTATTTGAGCACACTATTCCCAGGTTATATAACAAACAAATTTTTACTAAATGTTCATTAAAAAATCGGCACAACTTGGAAAAATTGAAAATTGGAAGAAAAATTCAGAGAAAATAAAATTGGCGGAGAAGAATTCCAGCTGAAATGGATAGATTCCATCCATGACGCTGGTAAATAAGAAGAACTGTGAAGGTTAATTTGTTAGTTAAAAACATTTTGATTTTTTTTAGTAGTAAAAAAACCCTCATCTTGTAATTTCATCTTATGATTTCAGTCACAAAACAGGAAAGTTAAATTTCTGCGGTTAACTTACATTTTAAGCTTTGCGCAGACATTCTAATAAGAATTTTAAGGATGTGCTTACCTTTCCAACTGCTCGTTTATATCGATGAACTGCTTTATTTATTAATTCTCTGACTGGAATACTTCCCTCACCACACGGCACAGTCACACGTACAGTATCAAAGCAAACAATCACCTTAATAGGCATTTTTAAAACTTCAGTTTTTGGTACAAATTCAAATCTCTAGTTTTATGACATTTTGGATTGAATGAGGAGATACAATCTGTCATTTCTCAAACACTGACAAACTGTGAATAAAAATAGTAAAAATAAAAGTAATGTTAATAAAAATTAAAGTAGAAAAAGCTGAAGACATAATTAAGACTTCGCTCTCTCTCTCTCTTTACAAATCATGGCAGCATCTCTTACACAATTTTTGTGTTACAAACATGCTTAAAATCTTAAATTAGAACAGTCTATTTCGGGAGAAGCAATATATATCTATATATATATATATATCTATATATATCTATATATATCTATATATATATCAATATATCTATATATATATATATATATATATCTATATATATATATATATATATATATATATATATATATATATATATATATTTATACTACATAATTGGCCTATTGAGGGGGAAATACAATGGCACTAAGTTGTAGGGATGTGACTAGACCAGGGGTCGGCAACCTGCGGCTCACAAGCCGCATGGGGCTCTTTTGATGTAAAAAAGCGGCTCTCGAGTTCCATGCGCAAATATAATTAACGAGCCGGCCCGCGGCATAACATACGCCGCTATTTAGTTGCTGTTTTTTCTACTTTTCAGTAATTCATAATTTGTGAATTCGACAGTACCAACGCTGACATTGAAAATATTTCTTTAAAACACTACAAGTAGCTCGTTAAGGACCATAACCCCCCCTTCCTCCCCCCCCCCCCAAACGTTTAAAATCGTTTCAAACTAAATTATCTGCCCCTAATAGCCGTCACTAAAGCCGACTCCACGAAGGTAATCATAGCGTGAACCACAGCTCACTAAGACCATGTAAGGGTGGGGATGGTAGGGAGCGCGTTTACAGCTTGTTTTCTAGCGTCTCCCTGAAGAGAATTATATATATAGATTATATTATTTTATTTTCAAAACTCATAAAAATTATTATTTTGCAAGACTCGGTAATGAACGATATTATAATAATATCTGGGAGATGTTACTTTATAGGACCATGTCCCAGATACTTTGGCATGGTGTTACTGTGCGGGGTCTTGGCGTCCACGTCGCAAGCTATGGGCGCTTAAAAACTGCTGAGCTGCAATTTATATTATATATATATATATATATATATATATATATATATATATATATATATATATATATATATATATATATATATATAGTGGCTCTTTAAACACTGCTGAAGTTTGTAAATTGTAACTTTTGGCTCTTCCGCCTCAAAAGGTTGCCGACCCCTGGACTAGACCATGAAAACAAAAAGAATTTTTTTTAAACTCAATATGTTTTATCAATTTTTTTAAAATCCCAGTGAAAGCAGTCTCACACAGTGACTGTACTAATTTATAGTTTAATATAGCTAATTATTTTAAATAAAAGAAGTTTCTGTCTTGTCTAAAATGATGGCACACCTCAGCCAAAAACATAGGGTATTTTAATCAATTTCTATTATAATTTATTGAAACCACAGTAAAAAAAACAGGCTTGGGAGATTAAAGCTTTATTTGAAGAGCGGCATCAATTTAGCTAACATGTTTTTACTTTCTCGTGTACGAAGTATAGAGGAAGTATTGTAATCGTGCAAAAAATTGAAATTCTCAACATTTTACACCTCCCTGAGGGATGTGACCAGACCAGGAAAAAAAATTAGGAAATTTTATTCGGACAAGAACTCAATATGTTTTATCTATTTTTTATTGCAGTTAAAGAAGTCTCACAATGTAACTGAATAATTTATTGTTTAATGAAACTAATTATTCAAATAAAAGAAGTTTATGTTGCTCTAAAAAAAAGTCTTGTTTAATTGCAATTTAATGTTTACCTTATAAACATCTTATTAAAAAAATATACAATGTAACAAAAGTGGCAATTAAGTTTTATTTTAACATTATGCTAATTTAAACTGTGCTAATATAGTCTAATTGTACACTTGTTTTCAATTTTAAATTATGCCTTATATTCTTTTAAAGACTGGCGTGGTAAAATGTTAGTCTTAAACTGTAAAGAGCCTAGATTTAGATTAATTGTCATTTGGAAGATTTAGGTTCATGTGATGGAAAATGAAATCGACCAGATTAGCTGAAATTAAAATATGTGATATGTGAACAAAAGTTAATCATTTAGATAACCAAGTCACATCGTTATTTATGTTTTGGAATAGCTGTAAATTGTTAGGGGGTCATCTATAAATGACGTCACGTTTTTTGGCGATTTTTACCTCCCCTCTCTGCTTTGTCACAAAAGCCAGACTCGTCTCTAAAATGATGGCACACCTCAGCCAACACCTCCCCCCCCCCCTTAGAATTACATTTGAATTATTCTTTTAAACATTGATTTTTTAAAATCTAGACTGAGCTTGACAAACAAAGGGTATTTTAATCAATTTCTATTATAATTTATTGAAACAGTATTCTAAAATGCAAAATAACGGCTAAAATTCAGTTTCTAGCATTACTTTTTAAAATGCAATATTAGGACAGCACACTATCTGAGTCCCCTCCTCTTCATCAAATGTCAAAAAATTACCCCCCCCCCCCCCACCCCAACCATCTTGATAATAACCAAGCCACATCCTTATTTGTGCTTTTAACCTAATTAACAAATTTTTGCTAAAATATTTAACTGAAAACATCAAAAATGGTCTAATGTCAATTGAAGAACAATTGGCATTATGTTAGGTATGTCAAACAGCCGTAAAAACGCCGTTTTTGCCCGCGTCGCCCAAATATAGTAGCTTTTCACTTCATAGTTTTGATAATAAAAAGGGCTCGTATAGTAATAACCTTGGTACCATTAAAAAGTAGATTTTAAGCCCTCTAATTATGTGTAATTTTTATAGTTGTTGATATAAAACAATATATCTCATTTATACCCAATTGAAAACTATCACCGAGATTTTTCAACGGCAGTCGAGATTTTGACCCCTCTCTCATTTAACTCCCAAGCCTTTTTTTTACCGTTCAACGTATTTCTTAACAAATACCTGTAAAATGTGCAGAATTGAATAGCCTTTAGTGGGATACTAAACCAAAAAAATGCATAATAGACTAAATATTTTAAATGTTAAAAAACCAAGAAATTTTTTATTAGCATATTCAGAAAGGTGGTCCTTTTTTCTGTTAAAACGCTTTTTTTGTTTATCATTTCTGAGCGCTCGACAAATACAGTCAGATAGACCAGAATCACTATTTCAGTATCTACTAGTAGATCTAGTTACAATTCTAGATCTAGTAGTAGTAGATATACTACTAGCTAGATCTAGTGCGGCGTTAAAACGGCCAATGACAAAACAGCCCCGTCAAAACGACCCCAACATAAGAGCCCCGTCAAAATGGCCAGCAACATATGGACCCCGTCATAAAGGCTCCTGTCATTTAGGCTCTCGTTATATAGGCTCCCGACAAAAGGGCTCCAGTCAATAAGGCTCCTGACAAAAAAGGCTCCCAATATATAGGCTCCCATCATTTTGTTTTTTCCACAAAACGGCCCCCGTCATTATGACTCACGACAAATAGGCTCCCGCCATTTAGTTTCTGCCACAAAACGGCCCCCGTCATTACTACTCCTGACAAATAGGCTAGCGTCATTTTGGCTCACGACGAAAAGGCTCCTGTCAATTTGGCTCCAGACAAAAGGACCACTGACAATACCGTTTCTGTAGAGACTAAGTCTCCCGGCAAAGCGGTCTCATTGATAATGACACCTGCCAGTGGGACCCCTTCATCAATATTCTTTAGAGTTAGCTTATCCAACTTTCTTAAGTAATACAACATATGCATCTCTTGTTCGGCAGGCCTTATTTTTATATTAGTTTATCTATTATAAAATCTAGTATGTTTTAATTTAAGGGTCATCTATCTATGACTTCCATAATTGAGTCGATTATAGGCTGTTTTAACTCAGTGTGTGGGGAGAAGGGACCCTTTTGACGGGGTTGTTTTGACGGGGTCACATTAACAGGGCCGTTTTGACGGGGCCGATTTGTCCCGGGCCGTTTTGACAGGGCACAATGTTACTTGCACATATTGTAAGTAAACTAGGAAACATATGCCAAAGGGAGATAATCGCTTTTCCCTGCCTTTTTTCAATTCTCTTTATTACCTTTCTTTATAATTTTTTTCTTTTTAATCGGAGCAAAATCGGAATGACGGAACAAATTACCTTTTTAGGTGAAAAAGCGGGACGGTTCCAATTTTGGCGGGACAGTAGGCATGTATGATTGATGTTAGCAAGTTTTAGAGGCTTGATAGTTCAGTGAAATAAATAAAAACATGTAGCTACTTAATAAACAAGTTTGTGAGTCTAGTTTTTAGTTTATTTCTTCAGTATATTTTTATTATTAAAGCTATAACGCCGTTCAATGATTAGACTTTCACGTAATTTTCAGCTTTATCCGATAAGCTACAACTCACTTCACTTTGTATCGGAGTCTAATTTTTTTATGATTGCTTAGTTCAAATATTTGTCTTTTCTGACAGAGGGTACTTTGAAAATTAATTGCAACATATTTTTCTAATCTTTTAAGAATAGCTGAATATTTTTTCTGTTAAATGTAAAAGGTCACGTAATTGTACACTTCGTAACCAGTGTCAACAATATATGGGTATAGGTTAAAGTAGAAAACTTCGCAAATTTGATGCATGGGGTGGGTTTTAGCGATGATTATAAACTAAATAGTACATGATATGTAGCTTGAAATACTTTACATTACCAAAGAAATTGATTTTTTAGTGTGTTCTTTAATTTCAATTTTAACTATATGTTATGTTAATGACTCCAAAACTTACCTGGAATGGGAGGGGGGGGGGGGGGGGGGTAAGCGAGATCATAATTCAAAGAAGCGTTATTCCCCTACATTTTGATATACTTATCAGGTATGTTCTTTCATCAGACATTTTTTGGTGATATTTTTAAAATGTACAAAATTTGTGTTTTTACTTCTCTTTTTAATTTTTTCAAAAAGTGAGAAAAGCCAATTTCGATGCAATCAATTTTTATTATGTATTATTTTTGAGGTTTGAAAAAAATTGAGTCTGTCCTCTGTGTATATGTGT